GAAAATATAAAAATAATGCAAAATAAATAATAACGTCTCCCTCCTGATCCCAAAATCTTGCACTAAAACGATCGTTCTAGGAAGACACAGCCGTGTGTCCTGCTTGGAGAAGCCAGCCCAAGGCCACGTGGCTGGGGAGTGGCAGGGCCCGGAGGGGAAGCCAGGGGCCCGGCCAGCATCAGCCCCGGTTCCCAAGGTGTGACAGGGAAGGAACAGCGGCCGGAATAAGGAGATGTGCCGGTCAACCACGCACTGAAGGGCCATCGCGTGACGAAAACACTTGCCACGGGCGGCAATCTGCTGCGTCTGAAGCCAAACCCAACGGCCTCCGACCACCGGGAGCCGTCCAGAGACTGGACTCCCCCATCTGGTCAGACACGCTGGCCTGTCCCCTCTGTGCCCTCTGTCCCCTGACCCTGCTGCGGACGTGCGGGCCCCACGCCCAGACACGGGAGGGCCAGCGTCTCCTTCTTGTCTACCGTGTCGCGGGCACAGAGGCGAGAGCTCCGACTGCGTCCTGACTCTGACGGCCCGCACCTGCCCCGTTTACGACCGTCTCTCCCCGTCCCCTCGGCTCATCCCCCAGAGGCTGTGGACGCGGGAGAGAACACGGAACCGGCCCCCGCCCCCCACCCCGCGGCTGTGCTCGCTCCTTGTCCCCCTCACCCATCATCATCTTAACAGCTTTACTGAGACACAGATTCCGAGACCGCACGGTTCACTCATTTAAAGTACTCCACGGTTTTTAAAAATTGTGGTGAAATATATATAACATGATATTTGCCATTCGAACCGTTTTTAAGTGTACAATTCAGTGGCATGAAGTACATTCACATTATTGTGCAAACAGCACCTCTGTGTAGTTCCAGAACATTCCATCACCCCAAAAAGAAGCCCCATCCTCATCAGCATCACCCCCACCCCCTCCCCAGCCCCTGGCCCCCACGAGCCCGCTCTCTGTCTGTGGATCTGCCTGTTCTGGACGTTTCATGTCCATGGGGTCACGCGCCGTGTGTCCTTCTGTGTCTGCTTCTCTCCCTGAGCGTCGCGTGTGCAGGTCCGTCCACGTGCAGCTGTGTCAGGGCCTCGCTCCTCTTCACGGCTGCGTCATATTCCAGCGTGTGGGTGGCCACATTTGTGTGTGTCCCTCACCCGTCGATGGCGGTTTGGGCCGCGTCCACCTTTTGGCCGTTGTGAATCGTGCTGCTGTGAACACGTGTGTACAAATATCTGTTCGAGAATTTGGCCTTTTAAAGCTGCCTCCTCAGTCACCTTCTCACCAAACGCCCAGCTGCTGTCCGTGCCCTGACTCTCCCAGGGAAACTGACGATACTCCCAGAGGGCTCTGAGGCGTCCCGTCCAGACGGACAACTGGCTGTGCAGCCTGGGAGACCCTGTGACAGTTAATTTGTGTGTCTACCTGGCTGGGCCATGGGACACCCAGATAGATGGTCACACAGTCTTCTGGATGTTCCGTGGGGGTGTCACTGGATGAGATGAACTTTGAGTAACGTGCTGGCCCTCTCCAATGTGGGTGGGCCTTGTCTGATCAGTTGAGGGTCTGGACAGAACAAAAGACAGGCCTCCCCTGAGCAGAAGAGAATTCTCCAGCCACGGCCTTGGTCTAGTACCACCCCGCTGGCCCTCCTGGGAATCCACCCTGCAGATTTTGGACTCGTCAGCCTCCGTAATCAATTCCTTAAAATAAATCTCTCTCTCTCTCTCCGCATCCTATTGGCTCTGTCTCTCTGGAGAACGTTGACTGATACAAACCGACCGCCAGGCGCTCTGTGCTCAGAGAGGAATGAGCTCAAATCCAGGCCCCGTCGTCCACCGGCCGCTGGGCCTCGCTGAGACCCTCTGCTGCTCAGCCTCAGTTTCCCCACTATAAAGTCTGGATAAGGAAGGCTGCTCCCTGGGTGCCTGACGGACGGCTGCTCCGTGGCCGAGGGGGTCTGCAGACGCGGGAGGAGGGGAGGGGAGGCAGCGGGCAGCAGCGTGGGCATGGGGGGCTGTCTGGGAGCCGGGGCTCAGCACCTGCTCACAGCCACGGCCCGATGTCACCGGCTGGGGCTCGTGTCCTCCCTGCTGGCGGCTACCGCAGGGCAGGGACCTAATCCCGCGGCCCGTGGCCACGCGCCTGCTCTCCTGGCCCCTGAGCCCCGCGAGGTGGTTCCGCTGTCATCCTCGTACACGTGTATGTGCGTCCCGGAGGACCAGATGCAGGTGAGCCCTGGGCTCCCCGCCAGGAGGATGGGTTGTGTGTCTGTGCCTCACTGACCGAGAGGGTGCGGGCCCCTGGTCATCACTCAGAAACGGCTGCGGGCCCAGCATCATGTCATTGGCGTCATCTGACTGTCGGCGGGGCCAGGGTGAGGCTGGGGAGCCACTCGCCTTGGGCACCGAAAACTGTCACCACGGGAACTCACATTTTCACGTAATATTTTCTGAAAAAGTCAAAATGGGGGCTGGCCCCAAGGCGTAGTAGTTAAGTCTGGCACGCTCCACTTTGGCGGCCCTTGTTTGGTTCCCAGGTGGGGACCTACACCACTCATCGGTGGCCACGTGGTGGTGGAGTCCCACGTACAGAACAGAGGAAGACTGGCACAGATGTTAGCTCAGGGCGAATCTTCCTCAGCAAAAAAAAAAAAAAAAAAAAGTCAAAATGAAAGAAAAATATTCATGATAAACCAAATATCAAGCTTTTCAAAAGAGACAGGATCAGATAGGGCTGGGATTAGGGTAAGGTGATGGCCTCTGCAGGTAACATTTTGACCTTCAACTGTGGATTTTTTTTTCTTTTGCTGAGGAAGATTTGCCCTGAGCGAACATCTGTGCCCATCTTCCTCTACTTTGTATGTGGGACGCCACCACAGCACGGCTGACAAGTGGTATAGATCCACACCCGGGATCTGAACCGGTGAACCCTGGGTTGCTGAAGTATAGCATGCGAACCTAACAACCACGCCACCAGGCCGGCTCCTGGATTTTTCTTTTGGGCATTAATTTCGATTTTTAGGAAATATTGCTACATTAAGATACGACTTACCGTGATGACTAGGTATTTCAGCCCCCCTTGAGTTCTGTGCCCGGGGACAGTGCCCAGCTCTCCTTACTTGGGTCTCGGCTCTGCCTCCGACACTCACAGGCTACAGGGAGCAGAGGTCCGGCACCCTTGGGGCAAACGAGGCCAAGAGGCACCAGCCAGGGAGGTGAGCCCCCACTTACGAGCCTGCCGTGGGCCGGGGCGCCAGCCTCTGCAAGGCTCCTTAGGACTGCTGGGGGCTCTCATCCCCATCTCAGAGGTCCAGGTGACAGGGGCCACCCAAGCCACAGCCTGTGTTCCCCTAAAAGGTGTGTTCAAGTCCTAACCCCTTAACCCCCGGTACCCAGGAATGGGGCCTTATCTGGAAACAGGGTCACTGTAGATGTAATTAGTTCAGATGAGGTCACACTGGAGTAGGGTGGCCATAAATCCAATGACAAGTGTCCTTATAAGAGGAGAGGACACAGACACACAGGGAGACGGCCACGTGACGACAGAGGCAGAGATTGGAGTGACGTGTCCACAAGCCAAGGACGGCCAGCCACCACCAGAAGCTGGAAGAGGCAGGAAGGACCCTCCCCTGGGGTCTGTGGAGGGAGCGCGGCCCTGAGACACCTCGATCTCGGACTTCTGGCCTCCAGACTGCGAGGACGCATTTCTGTGGTTTTAAGGCCCCCTGTTTGTAGTACTTTGCTGTGGCAGCCCCAGGACCCTACTTCAGGGAGCGTTCTCTCTCAGCCCCCGCCAGCCGCCCCCCAGCCCTGGACCCTGCAGCCTCACTCCTGCTGCAGCCCCGTACCCTGGGGCCTCACACTGCGCCCCCGTCCCGTCTAGGAAGCAGGCAGTCCGGGTTCCTGGTGGCATTAAGAGAGGCTCAGAGAGGAAGTGGTGAAGCCGGGGTCCAGAGGATAGCGCCCCCCCAACTCCAAAACTAGCCCCCCTGCTACCTGACCAGCCAGCCCCCCGCAGGGTCCCGAGGTGACCCCGGGATGGGAGCCCGTTCGAGCCACACCGCCCCCCAACGCCCTCGACTGAGAAACACATCCGGATGCGCTTTCCTGCCCACACCGATTATGGAGCAGATGGACACTCAGCAACACCCTCTTAAGACAACCAGTGGGTCCAGGAAGAGACCGCAGGGGGAACCAGCAGAATGAAAACGCAAAACGCCAAAACTCGCCGGATGCCGCGAAGGCAGCGCCCGGAGGGAACCCGACGGCTGCGAATGTCTGCTTTGGGAAAGATCTCACATCCACACGACTCGACTTCACGCCCTAAAGGAACCAGAGCGGAAAGAGCGAAAGAAACAGGCCGGCAGGAGGAAGGGAATGACAAGGGCGTCGCGGAGACAAATGGAACAGACTCGAGAAACGAGAGCAGAACCAACGAAACCGAAAGTCGGTTCTTTGGAAAGATGGACGGCGCTGGCAAACCCTCAGCCAGAGGGATCGAGAAAAAAGGAGAGAGGATGCAAGGACCTGAAGGGGGGCAGGAGGGCAGGACGTTGCCATCGACTTTGGGAAACGCAAAGGATCATGGGAGAATCCGTGGATAATCGGATGCCAACAAATTAGGTAACTGACGTGAAATGGACACATTTCCTGGAAACACACACATCACCGCCCAGCCGCGGTTCCAGACCGGCCTCAACAGACGCCCGGCGCTGTGCAGTTTCATATCAACAGACTCGTTTAATCTTTGCGACCTTCTCGGGAAGCTGCAGGACGTTATTTCCGTGGCAGAGATGAAAGGGATCCGCCCAAACGTGACAAGAGCCGCCGAGAGGCGGACGGAGGATTTGAACCCAGGTTTCCTGGCTCTGAGCCCAGAGCTCTTTTCACGGTGACACAATTCCCAGCGTGTCATGTGGGCGTGAAACACTGTGGCTTGTTTGTTCCTTTTGCTAAAAAACAAGAGATTCCAAGCTCATGAAGTCAGATAAAACGCTACATACCTTTTTTTAGTTTTTTCTAATCAAGGAGCACCGCTTCCCCCTGTTTGAAAAAGGAGAGAGAGAGAGAGAAAAAAAAAAAAAAGCACGGTTACATATTTTTCACTTAACCATCTCCAGCTTCTCTCGGAGAAATACTTTGCTGTCGCCAAAAACGGGGCATGGTTATTGGAAACGGCCGTGTCCCGCCAAGAAACTGGGGGGGTGGGGGGGAGAATCCACTTTATTCTTTACAACCAGTCCATTCACGAGAGACAACCATGTTTCTTTGGGGTGGGATGCGGAGACAGCGAGGGGGGTCAAGTTTTTTTCTGGAACTTGTATTATTCCATCTCAGAACACGGGGACCCCAAGCCATCAGACACGCGGGTACTAGCAAAACACAATCTTCAGGAACTGAGCCCAAAATGAAATACACCGCATGGGGTTTTTCCATGTCTGGCTTTTGTTTTGATGGGAGCCACGTACCGGGCGAAACAGGGAGGATGCGAACTCAGGGCCGAACCAATTAACCTCGGGGGGGGGGGGCAGAAGAGGTGACAGGTATACGGGCACAGGGAGGCAAGGGGTCTGAGGCCGGCCACCCGGGGCCCGGAGGTCAACGGGAAAGGAAGGAAGTCCCCGTGATGGAGGCCTGGGGCTGGGGGGGGGGGCTCGGGCACTTCGGAGCCGCTGTTTTCCGGGGAACGGGACCCTCTGCTCCAAGTGGAACCCTGGAAAGAGCATGCGTCTCTGATACTCGATGCAAACAGCATGGGGGTCCCTGGGGGCTGCCATGTCCAGCTCTTGGGGTGACCCCGAGACCAAAAAAGCCAGGCCACACCCGCCTCTCCACACCCCATTGGCTGCCCTGAGAATGCACGGCCCAGGGAGGCACGGAGGGAGAGGCGAGTGGAACCCCATCCCGTCCAGCAGCATCGCCATCTACACGGCCGGCGCCGGCCTCCTATTTGTGGAGGAAGAGGCTCCAGGCTACGAGGCCCTGCTGTGACTCTGCACGTCCACCTCGGCCAGCCGGGCCTCTGTCAGTCCTCCCACGGGGGACCCCTGCAGTGGCCGGGACATGGGCCACGCTCTGCAAAGCCGGCAGCCAGCCTGCCCTCCGGTTCGTGGGGAGGCCGGACCCTGGGGCTCGCGCTGCTGTGGGCTGGCCTGGGGAGGTCAACAGAAGCCCCCGCCCCGGCCAACGCAGGCCAGACTTCCTGAGCTGAAAGGCCGGCCTGCGGGCGGGGCTGTTTCCCTCTGGTTCCGAAGGCCCCCTATGGTCTCTGAGAGCCGGCCCCTCTTCCTTTGCAAACATCTGCTCTTTCCACAAACGAACGGGGTTTTTTCCACCTACACAAAGGGATACACCACTGCTGCCAAGCCCTGAGGGCCGGAGCCCTTCTCTGCAGCCCTGGGCCCTGGGGGGTGGGGCTGGCACTGGAGGCTGAGGGGGCCTGAGGATGGGCGGGAACCCCCCACCTCAGGGCTCAGCCTGAGGCTTAGGGCAGCTCCAGGGCAGACAGGAAGGAGGTGGCTGGGGTGGCTTTCTCTAAATTGGGGTCTCCCCCGGTGCCCCAGGCATTGCTGACATCGGGGTGGGTCACTCTCCTTGGGGGGGCCCATCCTGGGCAGCATCTTGGGCCCCACTCACTCAATGCCAGGAGCAGCCCCAGTCATGACACCCACAGATGTCCCCAGACAGGGCCCAGTGTCCCCTGGGGGCAGAAGCACCCCTGAGAGACGCCCTGCCTCGAGGAAGGGCTGCGTGAGACACAGAGAACTCAGGCACCTCCTGATGCCCTCCTGAAACGCCCTGACGCCCGTGGTCCCCATCGCCTGCTGGAGGGCAGCACTGGGGCTCCTGTGGCCTGGTGGGGGGACAGACCACTGCTGGGCTGGACCCCGGGGTGCTCAGGGGACGAGCATCAGAGGTGGCACCTCCCCGTCAGCCTCTCCTCCCGGCCACGGGCTGGGCCTCTGAGAAGGGCGTTGCTGGGGCTGTGACGTGCTTGTGACAGCAAACTCGCGTGGGCTCCAGGCTGGGGGTTAGAGACAGTCCCCATTTTCCGCGGATTCCAGATTTACAAATTTTCTCACTCTTGAAAATTTATCTCTAAGCACCGAAATGAGACACGGGGGTTTTCCCAGTGGACACACGCAGCGCCGAGGTGAGAAATCTGAGTCACCGACAAGCCCGTGCCCGGCTGAGCCAGAACGAGGGGACACTCTGCCTTCTTGTTTCAGCTCAGCCTGTAAACCAGGGTCCTGCTAACTATTTAGGGCCATGGCTGTTGCATTTCTGTTCTTTGCTGGGTGATTCTGCTGTTTCGAGGGGACCCCAAGCGCAGAGCAGAAGTGCCCTGGGGTGAGAAGGCGCGAGAAGGCCATGTACATACACAGCCCCCTACTGCTACCAATTCAGGTCCTTATGCTGTTTGATCACCTGCCTTTAAAATTCTTAACATTAAGTTGTGAGGGAAACGTCACTTTCCCACGACATCTCCAGTTCTCGTGACGCTTGACATTTTTAAAAAATACATTTTATTCTGTAACAATTTTAGATGGATGGAAAAGTGGCAAAAATACTCCAGACAATCCTCCCATGGCCTTGGCCCAGCTTGCCCCAAGGCGGACGTCTTGTCGAAAGGAAGCAGTGAAGGCGGCCCGGTACCGTGAACGGAACCCCACACTTTATCTGGATTTCAACAGTTTTTCCCCCAAACGTCCTGTCCAGGATGCTATATTGCATTTAGGAATGTGACTTTTTATGCCCGTGTTTTAAACGTTATGGATGTACTGTAATTTATATGGTTAAGTTCACGCACTCTGGTTTGGTGGCCCGGGGTTCACCGGTTCAGATCCTGAGCTCGGACCGACACACGAGCTAGAAGGATTTACAGGTAGGATATACAGGTATCTACTGGGTCTTTGGGGAGAAAAAAGAAAAAAAGAGGAAGAGTGGCAACAGATGTTAGCTCAGGGCCAATCTTCCTCAGCAAAAAAAAGCATAAAAAAACCAAAAACAAAACCCACACACAGAGAAGTGTACAGACCCATCCACATACAGCTCTGCATTTTAAAAGTGCACACACCTTGTCCACCTTGCCCGAGCCAGACACAACATTTCCAGCACCCGGAAGGCATCCCAGGGCCTCCTCCCCCGGTGACTCAAAGCTCTGAAGTTATTATTACTCCTATTTCCATTATTACTATCATCCTGACTTCCGCTCCCGAAGATGGGAAAGAGGGTACAGATTTGGACTGCAGGATGAGATGTTTAGGAGAGAAGGAAGCACTTCCTAGAAGATTCTAGAAGGTTCTAGAAGCCAGCCAGCCAGCATCTGCTCAGAGGCACTGAGGAGTCAGTCACCCTGGCCAGAGGTGCAGCAAGGGGATTTGGAGTGAGCGCCAGCCCCGGCTTTGGATGTTGGTCGGGACCAGCTGCCCACTCGCTCTCTGAATCTTGATGCTCTCGTCTGCAACATGAGGCCCCGAGGGTGGCAGTGAGGACCAAACGAGAGAAGCACAGACCTGGAAATTTGGAAGGCGGAAGGCGCCATCCAGGGCAACAAAGATGCAAATCATACAATATGTATCATATATAATAGACAACATCTATCATATATAATATGCATCATATATAATATATAACATGTATCATATATAATATATAACATGTATCATCTATATCACCTGTCATCTATAATATGGACGCCAACCCCGGTTGTTGCAAGTGGGTGGGTGTCGCAGGGTCCTGGGGTCGAGTTGAAAGGCCCTCTGGTTCTGGGGCTGACGCAGGCTGATCCTTGGTCCCCTCCCCTGATTTGATCCCAAGTTTATGGATGTCGGAGCCCCTGCAGGAGATGCGGCCGGTTGAGGTCACCAGGGCCGGGGTGGGGATGCCACGCTTACTGAGCGTTTATGACGGGTCACAAGTCTAATCTCCCTTCTTTCTCCTCCACACTCCTGGGGGCGGTGTTAGGAGGACTTCTGTGGGCCGGGCCAGGCCGGGTCCCCGAGGCTCTGGGAAGGAAGAGGGGAACATTCCAGAATGCCCGGTTACTCTGTGCTTTTGCATTAACAAGGCTCTGCTTTATATGAGGCGTGGGCAGAGGGGTGTGTGTGTGTGTGGGTAGGACAGGGGCAGGTCACTAGGTCAGGGGATCTCTCCTGAGGCCATCTCACTCCCCAGGGGACACGGGGTGATGCCTGGGGACATCTGTGGTTGTCACAGCTCCTGGCATCAAGTGTGTGGGGGCCAGGGCTGCTGCTCCATCCCCTACAGCGCCCAGGACGGCCCCAAAGAGAGTGACCCGGCCGTAGTCCAAGGTGTGGAACGGGGACCAGGCCTGGGTCCCTTCACACCCATCAGTGCGTCCTCCGGGCCCAGGATGCACGCCTGCCTCCCGGCCTGTGGCTGCGCCTCAAGCCGCCCCTCCTCGAAGAATTTACAAAGAGATCCTCAGCTTTTCGGCTTTTTGTTTCGAGTCTCAGAAACGTCCAGGGGGCCGGCCTGGTGGCGCAGTGGTTAAGTGCACACGTTCTGCTTCAGCGGCCCGGGGTTCGCCGGTTCAGATCCCAGGTGCGGACATGGCACCGCTTGGCAGGCCATGCTTTGGCAGGCGTCCCACATATAAAGTAGAGGAAGATGGGCACAGATGTGAGCTCAGGGCTAGTCTTCCTCAGCAAAAAAAAAGAGGAGGATTGGCAGCAGTTAGCTGAGGGCTAATCTTCCTCAAAAAAAAAAAAGAAAAGAAAAGAAAAGAAACGCCCAGGCGGCCCGCCCCGCAGAGGAAGCTGCCCGGGCGCCACCGAAACCGGAAGCGCTCTGTGACCGGTGCCAGCTCTTCTGGGAGCCGCCGGGTAATCCCCTCCCCGGGGCAGTTCTCTTCGAAGTTTCTCTGCTTTCCACTTCTCAGAACGAAACTGGGCCGGGGCAGGCGTTCACGCCCTCCGCCCCCTCGGGGCTTTGCCACCCAACCCAACGGAGCAGGCGACTCGGAGGGTCCAGATCAGAGCCAGGACCCTGAGGCGGGGGGTGGGGGGACCAGGAAGCCC